TAGAGAATTTTTTTCGAAATAAGATTCGTGAGTGCCCTTACAACAATGTCGTACTCTATATTATCCAAGCACCAAATCGCACGAGCCAAAAAAAATTTTTCCTAATAAACTTGAAGTTTGATTATTGAAACAAGTGAGGAAGCGCTGAGTTAAGCCAGTCTTGGATAACTTAGATAATGTGGGCCGAGTTCCTGCGTAGGCTCCATCACATGCAAGAAGTTATCGTGCAGCTTTGATCTCCTGAAGCCCAGGGTATAGGATCAAGTGAGCTCATCAGTGGAGCTGCTCTAGCTCTCAAGGAGTTAGTTGATCGCAGAGCTCTCTGAAATTCTCAAGCATTATACTATATAAAACTCTCTAAGACGATCTGGTAGAGTTCTCAAGTACTCGTGCACAAAATATTTGAGTTCCAGCTCTTTGAGCTCCCGGAGACTCTCATTGTAATCTTAAAAACGTTCACCTCAATCTGCGTGACGTAGTATGACTATTTTCTTAGTATTTTCAATAAACTAACAATATTCGAAAGTGCTATTAACCTATGGCAAAGAAACGGCCCATATAATGAAAATTAATAATTTTCAAACAATAAATTATCTTTGAATATATAATTAAATTGCTGAGTCATTGTAGATTTTACTTTACATAATGACAACGGCTTTTGCACTATATTCCTTATCACGGCGTTCAGATGCGTATTGTGAAGCAAAGTTACAAAGGATGCGGAACGCGAAGCTCACAGCCGAAGATGGGAGCATTTCTAAAGATCTCATAGGTTGCTACTTTTTAGACGTCATTGGTGAATAGAAGTGCATATTCGTAGAGACACACACAACTGCACAAGTATTTATATGTAATTTTATTAGTGATGTAGCTGGCCATAAATTTCAATTTATATTGTTCCAACCGCTTCGTTCCACATCATGTGGGCGATTAAGGAGGTCAGAAAGCCTGCATCGCTCTGGCATCAATGGCATTATTGGCAATCACTCATCTTTACGGCCGCATAATTGGCAAGTGACTGCTCGCATTTCTTGGCAGCCATCACTTTACGGCTTGATGAATAGCAGCAGCAGATGTGGCGGACATGACATCGAAATGTTGACATTTGAAGAGTCGCTTAGGATGAAATTTACGTGATGTTGTCTACGAGAGCAATGGGATGCTTCCCATAGTTTTGCACAACTGGCTTAAGGAAATAACGATCGCTGTGCACAAACTACCACACATTTCATGTAAATATGCTACGGAATAAAATATTAAAGGCAAACAAAGTAACTTGTAAGTTGTAACTGCATCGCGAGGCCTTGGTTTGAATCTTGGCAACTTGATTGCTGTATGTATTCTCCTCAAACTTCGATGAGACAACTTCACCTAGATTAAGAAAATTCTATGATAGATCCGACGATCGTTTAACCTAATCAAGCGATCAACTTGATCCGTTTAACGATGATGGCCCCATTAATCTAGTCTGGCTTAATAAACGTGACAAGGAAGAGTCTCCTAACATGCATTTGCGTCGTGCGCTTATGAGTTGCGCAGTCACGCAATCTGCCAAAATTGGTAAGGCTTAGCAGTACACGCAGGGTCGCCTCTGGAGGCTGGCCCATTAACAAATGAAAACTTGAATGCCATCCGTTGCACTGACCTGAAGCTTATGCACGAGTGCTCACGTGTGGCGGTCAATCTAATAAATCCAGAGGTAGAAATTAAAATAAGTCAAAATGTGCTTACTCCGACTACAGTTACTATCTGAAGTTGGAATCGTGTTACTTCATAGTAACACGATAGAACTACTTGGAGTGAGTTAGTTAATTGTAGTAAAATCTTTATTTTTTAACTTTCTATTTATTGAAACATATTTTGAGTAGACAAATATAGTTAAGTGATAATTAAACTAATTAATAATTAAGATTTTTGAATGAAAATTAACTCTAATAATAATTTTATAAACTAATAACTTCATCATACGGCATTCAAAGGCGAAATTAATTCATTATCTGAAGAAAGCTTTTTCTGATTATCATCCTTAATTTCTAGCGCATTTTCTTATTTATTGAAAAAAGGCGCTATTGTGCTCGTCATGTCCGTCTGTCTGTCTTTCTGTCTGTCTGTCCGTCTGTCTGTCTGTCAGTCCGTCCGTGACTTCACGTTTTCGTCGACGAGAAAAGGCTCTCTTTGTCACTCACTGCCCTGAGTACTGAGTTAAATTTTTTATCAAATTGATTACTCTCGTTTGTGAATTGAAATACCTTTTCCAGTGCCAACTATCCCAGATATTGACACATTAAACTGAACTTCAATGTTTGTCAAGAACGATGTGTCGTGATTTCCATCAGTAACACATAAAAACTGTGATATATCGAAGAATTTTCGCCGCAGAACTTGCACGCTTAAGATTCATCATGACGAAACCTCCAAGGTGATTTATCTGCACAATTTTTAGTGTGGGAATGAACAGCCGCGCCGGTTTGATGCCAACCTACCGTAGCAATTTATCAGCGGGGGAGGGAAGGGATTAATTAAAAATATGAAGCGTTTGCGTGAATTTCAGCGGCTCTCATTAATAACTCGGACGTGGACCGAGTAAACGACTGTGGTAAAAACAAATCGTATCTTCATTCTGATGAGATTTATAACTAACGCAAAATTTAATCTGCATCAGTTTTGTATGATGTCTTGAATTACTGAATGAATGGTCTTTGAATATCAGAATATCACCTGGGCATAGTCGGTATATTTTCCTAGATTGGTCAAGATTTTCAAATTTCCTCACTTTATTTTCTTAAACCTCATATCACAATAAAACATGAATAGTTTGAAATAGTATAGAAAGAATTTTTTCGGTTTATTCAACAATGTCGAGGATATTAACATCGTATAATTGTTTAGACTTACGTTCTATGACCGATGTGAACTTCAATGCAGCAAAGATGAAGCGATCATAACGTTTCTTTAACGATGCTCAGGAAATTTTGATTTGACAAAGATCCTACGATGATAAGTTTTTGCGCTTTGATCCCCAGGTGTTTCGCAAATCGAACAACGTAAATTCAGTTAGAAACGAATTTCTGCTTGAATAAACTTCGGTCACTAGCATTGTTTTACCCAGATGGATCTCATTAGTTACTAAAATTGTTCTGCTCGGATCTATTTGGCTGCTGACACCGATCTGCTCGGTAATTTTGGGCTGCCAACACGTTTTGGTCATATCTCTTTGGTTGGTAAAACCATAATTCTCGAATTTCTTTGTTGGCTAACACTATTCTGCTCGGTCGGCATCTATTTCGGACAAGCATCATACTTGTTTGGTGAGGCGTTGAAGACGCGGTTGAGGCAGCGTCGCTGGTGTTTACGAGGCTATATGGCTCCTGAGTCGCGGTTATCATGAATGCGTTGGCTGTTAGCGGCGCCTCGATAGAGCGTCGTCTCATGCATTTTAACGAGTCTGTCATCACGGCGTGAGCGAGAGTTTCATCTTGGAATATAGTGAAGAATAACGGGATCTGCGACAAACTAAATAAGTTAAACAAATGTAATTGTAGTAGTTACGATAATTGAATATAACGGATAACGGTGATCTGTGAATGATTCATATTAATATTGCACGATACAATTGAGATTTTCCTTTAACAGAACAATCTCTTTTAACGAACTCCCTGAAGTTCTGAAAAACTCATGCAGCATCACGCATAGATAACTTGGTATATTTTGTGAATAGACACTTCCTTCTCGTACCTTGAGTTGAATGATGGTGATCTAACTTCTCAGAGCCACTAACATAAATTAGAATCTTCCCAATTGTTTAAAACGTGGTATGAATATTCTTACCTACACTTCTTTTGTTATTTGAATACCATTGCATCTACTGCTATAATATGTCTAAAAAATAATTTCGAGGCTTTAGCTTTTTGAAAGGTTAATTCAAACGCTCATTCTCTTCCTGGCTGGCGCATGAGACATCAAGCTGCCCGAGCGTCCGTTTATGGCCCCTTATGGTGAAAATATTGACCTGATAAAACCGACCGCCTCCCAGGGGCCAATTTTCTTGTGATCATTTATTCCTATTCTGGTGTTACGAAACTAAACGCAGCCAGACGCTGATGTGCTGCATTTGTTGAACATAATAAGGGTTCAATTACACCATTAATAATCTTTTGCGACCATAGCGATTAATGTGGGCTAGTTTTACGATGACGTATCTCCAGACTTGAACAAAAACTTGTGTTTTAATAACTTTTGTGGCTTTATTCATTTTCTTTCTGATTTGTAGAACTGATGATGTATTAGTTGCGCCGAATAATTATAAATATTAATTAAAAAGAGTGTTTCCTCAATCGATTAGGGCGTTTTTTTTTCAAAAGTTTCGCTTCAAGGTTAAACTTTTATAATCCTGAATTGACAGACAAACTTTTATTCGCCCATTTAATTTCATTCTGTTTATAGATCAGAAACTAAGAAAAGTTAATAGATGAGCATGAAACGAAAATAATAAAAATCATCTTTTGCTTGGATTTTTCTAGAAAGAAAATTAATTTGAAGCCTTGTGAACTTCTAATTTTATCGCTAGGGTTACAAATTGCAAATATATATATATATATATACATGATTCCTTAATATCCCAATTCGTTCAATCAGTTATAATTTATTTCATTTAATATTCGTTGCGCTGATTTTCCTTCTTGCTGGAAGAAAATCTTGCTTCCATATCGTTTTACAAACTCTTGGTTGTGGGCTTGTGCTTGGTTAGGAAGAGTTGTTAATTTTTTAAATTTATAGTAAAAGTTCAGCGTAACATTGTAAGTCAAGAGCTTCTTGATTACAGTGAAAAATATTGTAACGAATAGAAGTCCTTCTTTTGACTTACCTGCTTAATTATGTTATGTCAAACATATATTACAAGGATAAAATTTAACATATTTCCAAATCAATAAAGGTCTTAGTACATATGTTTTTAAATTGCTTAATAAATCAATTCTGTTATAATGCAATTTTCAACTCACATCATCATCGAAATTGTCGTCCTCCGCCATGCTTGACGCGGTCGACTAAGCTCAGCCAGAGACCGATACCGCGGAGCGTCGATCTCATCCGCTGCTATGGAACGAATTTAACTGACAAGCACTGCACCAACTAATGCCGTCTTCGCAAACATTGAATTGAGCACGAATTCTCGCAATTCGTTCACCATTGAATTGATTAATTAAGAACGTGGATTCCAATTTTACAATTGTTGTTGATATATTTCTTCATTAACATGTCTCTGATCGTGAACGAACTTTCCAGAAATTTATTAGTCTGTCAGTCATTCATTTTCCTGCATTATTCCTTGTGAAAGTTTGTCCACGTAACGGAACTTGATTTGATGAGATAATTCACTGGGAAATCTGTAGTTCAAAAGTTTAAATAAAAAAAATCGAATAAATCTAACCAATTTCGATTCGAATGCTTTTATTGCGATAGAATCTTGTTTAAAGTTGTTTCATCGACTTAATATAATCATTCGCTCCTAATTAATTTTGCTCAGAAATTACGGATTTATATTTCTTACACTCTTTTAACATTCAAATTATTTCTTGATATTGTCGAAAAACATTTAGTTTACCGTATTCGCTTTATAATATTCAAAAGAGATTTTAATTATTAAATAATTCCTATTTATTTGTCGCATTTAAAACGTGAAATAATCAATATTAAACACGGCACTTATTTAGGTTAAAATACAAAGTTAGAATATTTTCAGGAATGTTTAAATAAAGTTATTTACCTCCAATATTATTTAATATACACAAGTGCACGGTAATGAAATTGGTGCATGGAAGACGTACTGTCGTTTGTTTCACTGTTAGTAACTGATCTTTATAAGGCTTTTTACCCAAGCCAAATATTTTCAAAACTTTGGATTTAATGAACCACTGTTACTAGAACGAGTTACGCACACAAAGTTAATTAGGGGCATGAGTTACGAGAGTGAGTTACGCGAGCACTGTTACGAACACTAATTACGCGCACGATTTGCGGGTGTGAATTAAACCAATTAAATGAAACCGAGCCAATATAACTCATTTATTTCAACTCTACTGGTGGCTCAATGGTAATAATAAACTGCTCACTAAATAGATTTTCAGATCAACAGTCTTATCATTCACGAGGTTACAGTCCCCGGTTCATGGTACCGAATACTGGAATAATTTCATTGGCTACTCATTTGCATAATTGGTGGCATCATCATAAGGACTAATTACCTGCTTTCAAATTAGTAACACTGCACACTATTAGAAACTTAACCTGCAACAAGAAAGATTCTGAAGTAACTTCACTCGGAAGCTCATGCAAACTTAAGTTTGCTAAATAAAAAAGGATGAGCATTTAAAACACAATGCAATTCATTTCACAATGGCGAATGCGAATGTAATTTGAAAGGTTGCCTCGTAATCTATGAAAAAATTTACAATTTAAATAGGTTTTTCAGAAAGTCAATACGATATTCACAAGCTAAATATTCAGTCTTTGGTACTCGTACTAGCGATAACCAAGATTCACGAGCCAGGAATCCATGCGAAAGGTAATTAAAATTAACAGATTTAATTTATTCACATTGTAATTTAGCATCGTTCACGTTAATTTTCGTTAAACTTATGTAGAGCGAATGCATTGACTGCGATTTGAAGGTCTGCTTGATTATATTAATTGGGCCAGCGTGTTCAATCGTTGCAATCTTGAATCCCGAGCTGATCCTGACCTAACGATGATCAATAGATTAGCAAATAACAATAGAACTTTTATATCTATTATATATGCTGAAAATCTTGCGAGATAAATATTCTAGTATTAATAATGCTTAGGTTGTTTTGCAGCATCGGGGTTGGTTTATTGCATTTACTATAAATTGTGATAGGGTCGCAAAATAAGATTTTCGCTGCAATTTGGTTGAGACGTACATGAACATTGAAGAGTAAAATGAAAATAAATGCTCTGAACTATTCCTCATTTCTCACCTTAAAGCTGCTTCCTGAAAATAAATTTACTGGCTAATTCTTCTTTAACAATATCATTCAATTTTCATTTTGTCTGTCATGCAAAGCTTCGCTCAAAACAAAAATGCTAGAGATATTCGAGGATAAGTATTATTTTGTTAGCCGTAACCATATTACACATTTTAACCACAACAGACTCCCTGGCCGCTTTCCCACAGACTTCTACAACTCGGCAAACTCTGTGTGTCTACTATGATCGTTAGCAGTGGGGGTAATTATAAATACGCATTCCTCAATTTTAGATCATGGTTTACATCTGCTGTATAAGGATCAACGTGTCTTTAATCTCTGTTGTAATCTAGATATCGTTCATCCTGCATTTAATAGTAACTCCAACGGTTCCCTGTCTCGGACCAATCACAACAGTTTGTGCTTGCAGACTGGGATGTCTGGCACGCATGATAGAGCAGCGTTGGCCTTCACAATGGACTCATATATACGTAACGACTTCTGAATTTATCCATAAAATTTAACAGCTACCGGGCCTTCTGTTATTCCGGGACTGTTAGTTTATTCAAATCTGCACTCGTCCTTATTTGGACTTTGGTTATAATCCTGCTGCTTTATTGCTTTGGCTTGGCTTTGAGGCGAGGGTCATTGTGTTAGGTTAGCGTGAACTGACATTTGAACCTGGTTATGTAATCTTAAATCATCTTCGTGCCATACAAAGTGATTATAATTCCATGGACGTTTTATATGCCTTAAAATAATATTCTGTGTAGGTTTTATCAGCTGAAAGTCACATAATAGTATAATTTGCTCAAAAGTTATTTCATAGAAGAAAACTGAAACTGAACTAAGAATCGTTAGTTCAGTTTTGCAATTTTTGAATTATTGGGCTAGAAATATTGCCTCTGATATAATAATTTCGATTCATCAGTTCTCTTGCTATGAGCTTTGATCATCCTCACTAAACGCCACTGCCAGGCAATGCGTGCTTGAACAAAGTATGGCCACGACTGGCTGAGTTCCTACTATGATTATTTGATATTTTCCAATATTGAATATTTTTCGGTAATTTTTGCTATCAGAGCCTGTACAGCATTCAGCAACTTATAAGAGTCCTCAAAATTTTTAGTTATTATTCTGATGTTAACTTATACATGAGAAATTAGTGTTTATTCCGCTGAAATTCGACGTATAGGCTTGAGCTTAAATTCTGTATTCTGCGCACACGCATCTGGCTTCCTTCCCGCCGACCATTCCAGCCTCAAATGGCGGCGCGCCTGATGAAACTCCTCGCGAATTATTCCTATCCCGTTACACTTGCACCAGTTAGTGGTGCTTCCTAATTAACTGAACTCAGTTCCTTCCATTAGTGTGGGCCCTTTGGCAGGCGTGTATCTGAGGCTCTTGTTTGCACCGACATTTCTGGGCACTTGAATGCGACATCGCAAGACAGCCGAGACTAAAGCCGAGACCCTCTCCTGGAGTGATTTTTTGTTGCTGAAATGAGGACATCTGTGAATTGGAAGCTTACTTCGCGTAAGCTGGCATCTGAATATTTAACGGGAGTATACATGTAATGTCGAGCAATGATTAGGTGTGCACTATGGAGGCAAATATTTTGTTATCCTCAACAAAATACAACGAAATTATTCAATTTAATTAAAATTAAACTATTGGTATCTGAATGAAATATATCGCGGCTCAATCGAGAGTTTCGTAAGAAATTGCTATCGTCTTCTTTTTTACTTTTTTCTGTAGTGAATAATTCAATCGTTTTAGAATTTTTTGTCAACTTGCGTTTTCAGTATCAAATTAAGACTTTTACATGCAAATCCAGTTTTTCTTAAAAGCAACTAAGATTTCTATTCAAAAACATAATTAAACCGTTTTCAACAGATCACAGCTTTTTTTTCTTTCTGGACATCAGCAATAAAATAGCATCGAGGTAGCATATGTTTTTCGTTGAGTGAACACTAGTTTAGACGGCAGCTGTCACCCATGCTCTGCGTATATCGCATCCATTCTCCCGCCACGAAGTCTGACGTGCTGGGATCCAGTTTAGCTCAATAAATCTCTAACGCGGTCCCTAGATTTCAATCGATCATCGAGCGAGATGCATAATGGTTAGCCTCACATGATCCTGCACGGCTCCTTCCCTACAGCCAATTATAGGGCTTTTTCAACCATTTCAATTTGGTCGGAGATACGAGCTTGATCTATCAAATTTTAGGATGGTAAATTGAGAAGGAAATTGTTAATTCCCATAAAAGTGTGCGCTGTTGCAAAGCTCTTAGTAAACATACAAAAGAAATTTTCGATTAAATAATTATTTAATTACGATAAGTGGTATATTTCTGTTATATCACACATTGAAAACACTTGCATCACGCATTGAAAGCACACGGAGCTTGAACTCTGAACATATGAAGTATCAACAATCATTAATGAAATTTTTGACGAATGGAACAATATGATTTGTCAATACTTAAGTAAAGATTTTGCGCTTCGGAAAGATAAGCCAGCAATCAGAAAATTCTTTTATTCTCGCATTATCGTTTGTTATCAAAATGCCTTCTTAATATTTTACGTAGGGGAGAAAAATACATTCTCAAGTTACAATCATGTAAGTTCAAGTGAAACTTGTTTATTGTATGTAATTGCAATTAAGGAGAATATATTGCTCTTTTTGTGCGAAATTTGAAAAGTCATACTTTGCGTCGAACTAGAGACCGTTTTCCAGGATTTTACTAAAAATTCATGATTATTGAAATTTAGGCGCTGTTATTGGTTTCCAGAGAGCTAGATTTTCAAAATCGAGTAGGTTACTGAATTCGCAGTTGCGTATTGGAACCAAACAAATACAAGAGTTTAGTGTATGTCTTAGTTCAGAAACTAACGAGTCGTGACGATTCACAAGGAAATAATCAGCAGGACCGACTAGCAGAGGTTTACTGTTCTAGGTACATACATACATGTAGTCTGTTAAATTTTGCAAACATTACAAATCGAAACTAGAGACCACATCATCAGCGACTGATTTAGTTGAATGTCAAAATACTTCACTATTAATGTTTTTGTGCTCAATTATACGTCTTGTCATTAAATATTATCTTCATCTTTTCCACTCCAATAATTTTGAGGCTGGAGCGTCAAAGGAAAAAACATGTGCACGTAATTTTTCTATACCTCTACACGTATTCATCGTTGGAGGACCATGCTGTTTTATTTTCTGTTTCTACTATCGAAATGAAACAGAATTTTTCCCATTTCTTTCAGCTGCACATTTTCAGTTTTGTTTCTGCTATTCTCAAAACTGTCATCAGGTACTGCAATAAAAATTAGTAGTTTTTCGTACTACCCGAAGAAGTCAGGGGCAAGTCAAGGCTAACATTGAG